GAATGATGGCTGATACAACTAACGAGGAGTTATCCGCTCTCGATGTAGACGGCCACGGCACGCACACGGCAAGCACCGCCGCGGGCGCCGTGGTTCCCAACGCGAGCCTCTTTGGCTACGCTAGCGGCAACGCTCGTGGAATGGCTCCCACAGCCAGGATTGCGGCCTACAAAGTCTGCGGGGACAAGGGTTGTATGGGATCAGACATACTCGCCGGCATTGAGAGTGCGATTCAAGACGGAGTCGACATCCTGTCCATGTCCCTCGGTGGTCCACCCGCGCTGTATTACAAAGATCCCATTGCCATCGGAACTTTTAGGGCCATAGAAAAAGGGATCTTCGTCTCGTGCTCGGCCGGAAACTCAGGCCCAGCCAATAGGACGGTCTCGAATGTCGCGCCGTGGATTATGACCATTGGCGCTAGCACAATCGATCGGGATTTCCCGGCTTACGTCACTCTAGGCAACAACAAAAACTTCACAGGCGTGTCGTTGTACAGTGGGAAAGGCATCGGGACAGAGTTGGTAGAGTTAGTCTACAGCCCAGGCGGCAACGAGTCGAGCAATCTGTGCTTGTCAGGGTCCCTTGACGCCGCCCAAGTGAAGGGCAAGGTGGTGATCTGCGACAGAGGGGAAAACGCGCGGGTGGAGAAAGGGGAGGTGGTTAAAGCAGCCGGAGGCTTGGGGATGATACTGGCCAACACAGCGGAAAACGGCGGGGAGGAGCTGGTGGCCGACAGCCACGTTCTGCCGGCGGTGGCGGTGGGGCAGATGTCGGCGGAGGCGATAAAAAAATACCTCAAGACGCACAAGAAGGTGACTGCGATGTTGAGCTTTGGGGGAACGGTGGTGAATGTGAAGCCGGCACCGGTGGTGGCCGCGTTCAGCTCGAGGGGCCCGAACACGGTGACGCCGGAGATCCTGAAGCCCGACGTGACCGGGCCCGGCGTCAACATCCTGGCGGCATGGACAGGGGCTGCGAGTCCCACGGAGATGCCACTGGACACCAGGAGAAGCCCTTTCAACATCATATCAGGTTAGTATCCATTACCAACAAATTTCAATTATATATGTGAATGTTCCTCACTTGATTGTTTCTCTTGTTGCATTTAAGATTCTCTTGAGAGTATAATGTTCAGTTGGATCCAAAACTTGTGATAATCTGGTTCACATCACCTGTATGGATATATATTTGTGTTAGATCAAAACTGGTGAAAAATCGAGCTACACCGTAAAGATCTTTGTCAATGAAGTGCAAAGCATGTTAATGTAATTTGTAAGACAACAGAATGCTAGCTATATTTTTCAAAACAATGACTCAGTGATAAAATTTTGTGATCAGGTACATCCATGTCGTGCCCGCACATAAGTGGGCTGGCGGCCCTTGTGAAGGCGGCCCACCCGGACTGGAGCCCGAGCGCGATCAAGTCGGCCCTCATGACCACAGCCTACACCCTCGAAAACACCAACACCCCCATCAGTGATGCCAACGACAGGTCCTACGCGACCGCGTACGCCATGGGCGCTGGCCACGTGGACCCGATCAAGGCCCTCTCCCCGGGCCTCGTGTACAACACCACCCGGCGCGACTACCTCGCCTTCCTATGCTCCCTCGGCTACAGTCCGACCAATATTCTGGCCATCACCAGGAGCAGGAAGCTAACGTGCGCCAGCCTTAAGTCCCAGTTCAAGACCCCGGCCGATCTCAACTACCCCTCTTTCTCCGTGCGGTTTAAAAACACCAGGGTGGTGCGTCTGACCAGGAAGTTGACCAGCGTGGAGCCCGGTGAGTCAGTTTATAATGTCTCGGTCAAGATGCCCCCGAGTGTGAACGTGACCGTGAAGCCGACGACACTTGTTTTCAATGGCCTTGGGCACAGGTTGAGGTACACGGTCACGTTCGTGTCGAAAAGTGCTTCGCGTAAGGATGCGTTTGGCTCGATTTCTTGGAATAATGTGAAGCGTGCGGTGACGAGCCCGGTTGCATACTCATGGCATTGAGATCCTTTCATGCACCATAGCTTATTTACAGCAATGGAAACCAAACCAAACAAACCTAATAGTGGCATATATGTGGCCATCTTGCGGGAGAGTTGTGTGGTGCGGTGGACCTGAAGAATAATTTTATTTTATTATTATTATTATTATTTTTTTTTTTTGGTTATGTTTTTTGTCATATGTTTTATTTAGTTTGTTGAGTGAAGTTTACTGTACTGGGATCGAGCATCATGCCATGCTCAAGTTTGACCATTACAATTATTATTATTATTATTATTATTTTTTTTTGTTAATGTATGCAATTTACAAATGGTAATTTAAGTGAATTTAGGACCCAATTCACTAAAATGCCTTATGGGTATTTCAATATACAAACGTGTTGGGCTTCTGATGCGTGAAGACCACAATTTTTCAGTAATTTTTTTTTTTTTTTAAATAAAAGTATACTAATATAACACTCGTGTATTTTACAGATACTTGTTAAAAAATTATTCTCAAATTTTAAAATTAACAGTGAGAAAAATTGTTTTAAATTTTATTTATTTTTCTACAAATAGTATATATTATTATATATTTTAGAATGACACTCTTTACTTGTGCGACTTACATGTATTATATTATATTAATTTTTATAACTTATATCATATAATTACTTGAAATATAAATATATTAATTGATAAGTAATTTTATTTTTCTAATTTATATAAAAAAAAGTTTTATTATTGTCATAAAGATAAATGTAATTAATTTTTTATACATACAATTTGGATGTTAAATCGAAATTCATCAAGATATGATTAATTTGATTTATTATATATGTAAAATTGAAAAAAAATACAAAAGTTATTAATTTTTAAAATATATTTACAATTCAATTGTTATAATGAGAAATGATATTAAAATACAATTAATACATGTAACATGACCATAAATAAATCAATATATATTTATGGATAATTCAGACCTAATTATTTTTTGAAGAAAATAAATTAAAATCTACCCAAGTAACAAAGCATGTAATTTTGTCACATAGGATTCCAGAAGTATGCGAGTCTGCCACTTAAACTCAGCATGGTTCTAAATTAATATATAGGGGATATGAGTCATATAAACGTTTTAAAGCTAATGAAAAACGTATCGCACATATATTAGAGTGATTTTTTGGTAGAGTAATTAATGATCTTTCAGTAGAGTAATTTGAAGTGTCTAAATCCACAGTTTTAGGTAAAGAGATTGAGAACAACAATATATGAATTTTCAAGTAAGTATATAAATCTTAGTGACACATAGATACTATAAAACAGGTATAATGGAATGAAATTTGGTAGGAATAGAATGAGGTGAAGAATGGAATGATTATGGGAAAGGAATTAAACAACTTTTGTTATTGATGTGTTTGGTATGCAGTAGAAATAACACCGAAATGAAATGACATTATCATTCTATATTATCATTTAACACTATTTTATAGTAAAAATTTAATATTTATGTTAATGTTGTTTTCTTATTTATGATAATACTAATATTATTTTATATTTTAAAAATATATTATATTTTAATAAACATTTTTTTGTATTGATACACTCATCTTATATAATAAATAAGCAAAGTATGCATTTATAAACATATTTTAGTCATTAACAAATACAAATATATCATTACATAAACTCCTATAAGCATATGTAGTCAAATATATTTTTTATAATATAGTTTAACTTATGAATAAATATATAATATATATGATTATATAGAATAAAACAATTTTTTTCTAAACTATTTAAATGCATTTTTTGTCAGTTTTATTTTTATATAGGTATTTAATATATCTATTTAAAATATGACTAGTAAATAAAAATAATTTTTTTATATATTTTTTGTTTGAAATTTATTTTTTAAAATGATTTTATTTAATATAATTTAATCATAATATTATAGTATATATTATTTATTTGTTATTATTATTTGTTAATTTTATTTTTTGAAATATTGATTTCTAAACATATGAGAATGAGAAAACAATCCATTAGCTATAGAATGGCTAATCCCACATGCATTGGTTTTGCGATTTCCATTGGAATAGTCATTCCCTCCTAAAAAATATATCAATCATAGGAATATGAATGAGTAAAAGAATGATCATTCCATTCATATGTCATTCCCGCATACCCTTGAAATTTTCATTGACGAAGAGGGTTTAGCGCAGTGGCGCATACCTCGCTCGGCATATCCTTTATCCCGAGTTCGAGTCACTGAGAGGAGAATTGGGGAACCAGTATTAATCCTCCTGTGTGCGTGTGTGGAAAAAAAAAAATAAATAAAACCCTTAAAATTTTCATTCAAAATATTGCAAACAGTAGTATATGATGATTTTTGAATGGGAAAAAACATCATAGAAATGCAAACAATAATATAAATTTCCATTCAAAATTTTTGAATGGGAAAAACATCCTAGAAATGATTTGACTTGTGTGAAACTACAATTTCCATTCAAAATATTGCAAACATTAGTATAGGATGACTTTGACTTGTGTGAAACCACAATTTTCGGTAAAAATATTGAAAAAAAAAAAAGTATATTAATCTTAGAAATATTATTCTCGCGATCGCCAATAAAAAGTATGACACACAGATATTATAAAGATTTAACATGGAAAAATTGGATAGAGTGATTTGGGTCAATTAATATTAAAACAATAAGTAGTAAATAAATGTGAGAAATGTCCACGCGCCTTTGAATGAAAACCAAATTTGAGAAAAGTGTCACGCGCACCGAAATCTAGTCCTTAGGTGATAGCAATTGCCAGAAAGTGTCATTGATCACAATCCCGCTTATCACGTTAACAATCACCACTCAAAAAGGTCTCTTTACAAACCAAAACTTACTGCTGGAATTTTTCACGCTTAAAGGGAAAAAGGCTACAAATGAGGACAAAAAGTAATTGAAGTTGGCAGTGGCATT